GGCGCCCGCCGCGTCTTCCTGGCGTGCGTTAGAGAAGAGGGGCGTGTGATGGAAGAAAGCGGTTCTAGATCCGCGAGATCGGATCGGGTCGACGGCGCGCTGGGCAGCGAGAGGAGGAAACAGAACCGAGTATTGGAGGACAAAGAGAGCGAGCCGCCTTGTGGGAAGTTAGGCGGTCTGGACGGCGTTGTTGAAGCAGGTGTGACGAGGTGTCCGGGTAGAGGAACCAGACGGGATCCCAGTCTGTTTAGAAAGACGCGCTGTAGGACAGAGATGGTCAGTCGTAGTCAGGTCTGGGTTTTGGTGTGTGTGTGTGTGTGTGTGCGTGCGCGCTTGTGTTGACCGAGATGTCTGGGTTTTGGGGTGGGTGTGTGTGTGTGTGTGTGTGCGCGCTTGTGTTGACCGAGATGTCTGGGTTTTGGGGTGGGTGTGTGTGTGTGTGTGTGTGCGCGCTTGTGTTGACCGAGATGTCTGGGTTTGGGGGTGTGTGTGTGTGTGCGCGTGTGTGTGCGTGCGCTCGTGTTGACCGAGATGAAAAGAAACGGGAGCCGAACGTTAGCCAGGGCAGAGCGCCGAAACCCGTCCGAAACCCGTCCTCTCCGTGGGGAGTGGATGCAGCCCGAGCTGCGAGAAGACGATCGATGCGAGGTCTGCGGAAGGAGAAGGAGGAAGAGAGGAAAAGCTCGCGGAGGGGGATTCGCCTGGCTGGGCCAATGAGCGCGTGTGAGGCCGGGGGGGGGGGGGGGGGGGGGGGGGGGGGGCTCCGCCTCCAGCTTGTAGGTGACAGCACCTAGGCATAGCCTGGGGACGCGGAGAAGGCAGGCACGTGAAATGCTTAGTCTAGGAAAAGAGGAAAGCACTGGTCACGTGTTGTTGGTTGGTGTTGTGAGAACACAGCTTAAATTGGGTACGGATCTTTACCCAGGTAGGTTTGGGTTTTTTTTTGTTTTTTTTCCCCATTCTAAGTAGGTAGAAAGCCTGATTACAGTAAGACGTAAGTAATGGTGTTCTTTAAAAGCGTGCATGATGGTGTAAGAGAAAATGGCCACTAGAGCGATGAGCTAAAATAATAACAAAGCACCGCCCAGGAAGAAGTATTTCAGATCATCAAAGAGCTAGTGCTGGGGGGGGTGTGGGGGGGTGTGATGGAAGCTTTAGGGGAAGGGGTAGTGATAGTGCCCTGGATAGATATATTACTTTTGAATGAGTGATTTCTGCTAACCTTGTTTTCGCACCTGGGTATCTGGTGACGTCTGGCTTAACGTAATTTATAGACACCTGTCTTAGGATTGCGTTTTTTTGGTAAATATCGAAAACAAGATAAAGAACTTTACATTTTTGTTTATTGTGTACTGTGTAACTCAGGGGTCCCCAATCCCGGGCCGCGGACCGGCACCAGTCCAGTCTAGTCCAGTCCGTGGCCTGTGAGGAGCCGGGCCGCAGAGCAGGAGGTGGGCAGCGGGTGAACTGACCTCCGCCTCCTGACCTCCCCTGGGCCTCAGTCTCCCTGGAACACGGGCCCTGTTGAGAGCTGCGCATGCGCGAGGTCTAGGTGGTGCTCCTACAGCCCAACGCTTCAGGGTTCTCTCTCCCTCCCCACACTCTCCACGCCCGTCCGTGGAAAAATTGCCTTCCAACAAACCAATCCCTGATGCCACGGAGGCTGGAGTCCGCTGCTTTAACTCTGTTATCCAGAATCTGATCCTTTTGGCAATTTGGAGATTTTTTTTGTTACAGATTGTGTTTTTGTTGCATTCATAAGTCATTTTGAGTTTAGTAACTCATTGATATATGCACTGTTTTCATTATCTTTGAATGCCTTTATTTCTTAACATCGTTGGGGTTTTACATCACATTTTTGACACATTTACCAGATTCTTTCTGAAGCTGCTTGACGCTTTGATTAATGATTGCATATTTGATTCTATTCTGTTTTGTCAGTAACAATCTGCATGATGTCCAAATATAACTTTGTAAAAATATGATTGATGTCAGCCCTTTTAGTTTACTGGAAGCTTGGTTTTCTGATTTTTCTGGTAATTATGGATGATATTAAATCACTTACTTTCTTCATAACTTAAATGATCGTATGGTTTTATTTTTGTAGGTTTTTGAATTTTTCTTGAGTTACTGCTTTGCTTTTCTAAAATTTTTCAGTAATGAAATACAGAATGTATATTGTTTGAAGTGCTTCTAATTCATCAGAACATAAAATGGAAAACCTGATTTAATCTTACAGTACAAAGAAAAAATTTGGAAGATATTTTTGAGAACATTCATTTAGCTTATTTTCATTTGGGTTTTATTAGCAAAGAACAAATTAGGAGTCAGGATAGAATTGTGGTAAGAAGGTACGCTTTGGGGTTGCAGAGACTTGGTTTCATATCCTAGTTCACTGCATGTCAGTGCAGTTTAAACATTTGGTTAAAAAATACTCATTGAGTACCCGTGTATGTTATAGATGGTGCTAAATGAAAAGACTGATTAAAGACTAGAGTATGGACAGTTTTCATGAGAAACCTTGTAGTCTTGGTGAGGGTGGGGACGAGGTAGAGGAGATGTAATAAAGGAAGGGAGTTGTAGGAAAGATTCCTGGAGCAGCTGCATTAGGAAACATAAGTATCAGCTGTTCAGTTAAAGTTGAGTGCTGGATTTGCTTAGGCAGATAATTAGTAAATAAAGCACCCATACGGTTTATTGTAACAATTGGTATTTATCGCTTGATTTTGTACTATAAGTAGAATAGATAGATAGCTCTTAAGGGTTCTGTTTACTAAAGAGACAAGGCTTCACTTATTGGAGATTGCAAAGGCGATTTTAAGAAAAAGATGGACAGATGTAGATTTTTAGGTGACAGAGGGCAGAGTGGGTTGGTGGGTGAGGGATTCACATTAAGCATCCCATTTTAGTTGTCTTAGAAGAGATTCTGAGGGCCTGAACTAGCTGATGTGGTGGACTAGGGTTGGATTCAAAGAAATATAGAAAAGAAAATAGGTAGGCCTTGTTAATGAAGTGGTAGGAAGAAAGGGGGATCAATTATGATATGTTTTTCTGGGTGAATATTAGTGCATTAACTGAGACGAGGAACATGTCAAGAATGCAACCAGATATTTAAATGTGAAACTCAGGCTGAGTCAGAGCTGAAAATAGAGACTTGGGAAGCATCAGCCTCAAGGTATTATAATAAAACATATGATTATATATAATAAGAATTAGGATGTCATATGATCTATCCATCCTTAACCCTTTGTTTTTAAGTGAGAAGCTAAAATTAGTGCCCTCAGCAAGGGGTTTGCTTTGGTTAGAATGATAATGTTTCATTGTCAGTTCAGTGTATATTTAGTTGTATAAATTTTATCATCTTGTGTGATTTGTATGAGTGGGTATGTGTGAGAGAGGCAGGCACACGTACTACACAGCTAACTGATCATTAATTCCTCAGTTTATGCATTTGAATTTTTTGGACCCTGTAATAATGTGGTTATGCTCAAGTAAATGCAAAAAGTGGATATGATTGCTCAAGGAGGGCATTAATTCTAAGTAAGTTATTAAATATTTCTAGATCTCCATTTTCTCAACTATAAAAATAGGAATGGTAATACCTACCATGGTGGACTATTTATTAGTACTAGAGTTCACAAAAATTATAATATATCTATTGTGTGCATACTATGGTACATGTTGTATATACTGTTACATTATGGGTTGTGCATAGTGGCTCACCATGTAATCCCAGCTCTTTGAGAAGCTGAGGCAGAAGGGTAGCTTGAGTCCAGGAGTTCAAGACCAGCCAGGGCAACATAGCAAGACCTTGTCTCTACAAAAATAAAAAAAACTTAGCTGGACATGGTGGTGCACTCATGTAGTCCCAGCTACTTGGGAGGCTAAGGTGGAAGGATCTCCTGAGCCCAGGAGATCAAGGCTACAGTGACCTGTGATCGTGTCACTGCATTCCAGTCTGGTTGACAGAGTGAGACCTTGACCGAAAAAAACCCCCAAAAATGATTATGTACTCACGTGTGTATAAAATGTTATAGAAAGATGAAAAGGGTATACTAACAGTTTAAAATATATATATTTTGCAAAACTATCTACAAAATGTTTATTAGTCTCCAGTATTTTCATTATTCCACTTCTAATATGTGAATACCTCATACCAATATTAGAATAGTCAAAAATGTCAGAAGTTAGATAGTATTATCAGTATGTTCATTATGTTTTTTTACTCATTGTCGCCTTACATTTTTAAAAGACCTTATGTAATTGATTTCCTATTCTGGAGACGAATTGCATATTTTAATTTAATTGCCTGCTCCTAGACAGTTATTCCATTTACCTCTCATAGCAAACCTTATTTTCCTCATTTCTCAAGTGAAGAAACAGATATTGAAGAGGTTAAGTAAATTTTCCAAAGTTGGTCAACTAGTACTTGTAAGAGCCAGGATTAGAAGCCCGTAATTTTTCTTTTTTATATTTTCTTTTTAAAAAACATAAATGGTATTGTTTTCCAGTGTAGTTTGTGAGTTTGAACACCAGCCGATTTAAAATAATTAGCATGTTGATGATTCTTTTTAAATGACCGTAGAGTGCAGAATCTGGTTCTAGTTTTAGTTTGACATTAACCAGCAGGATATAGTCTTTTAGAAAATAGAATCTCTGTAGAGTTTTAATTTCTTAAATGGAAAATTCATCCTGGATCTGAAAAACTGCATATTAATTGAAGGAGTATGAATTTCACCCTGAGTTATCACTTTTGTCCTTAGCATTCTGCATTTCAGTTTTAGTTTTAGAACATGCTCCATTTATTGACAGGAAAACATGGATTTTCTTTTTATTATAGCTTGTAGGACTGAGTTCAGCTAACACTGCCTGCAGTGTTACTCAATTAGATTCAGAGGATATAGATATAAATAGGATAATCCACTCTTAAGGGATTTATGGTCTGGTAGATTATGTGAGTCTCTACTGTTGTATTGACAGGGAGTAAGCTGCATTTTTCTTCCTTTTATGGAGGGAAATAGAGGAAAAGGGGGAAAATTCAGTGATCAGCTTTGAAAATAGTTTGTGCAATATTCATAATTTTTTTGTAAAATAGAAATATAGAAGTCACATAGTATGTGTAAGTCTATGTAATTACATTGCATTACAAGTCTATGTAATTTGTTTAAATAATGTGTCAATTAAACATGCTTACTCCTACACAAATAATTAAAGTATAAGTTCTGCTCTGTTGAAGCTTCTAATTTGTTAAGCACATGTTACTGACAAATGAAGTACAAAAATAAACCAGAGGAGAGTGGACAAAGAGCATTAAGAGATATTGCTCGAAATGTTTATTAGAAAGAACTACATCATTTTTGATATAATATTTTTTGAGAGTCTCCTATGCTTGGTATTTGAAGGACAATTGACAAATAAATTGAGAAGTTGTAGGTGGTATTATTGTAGAGATTGGAGCTAGACTGTAGATGGTTTTCATGTCAGGCTGAATTGGCAGTGATTAACATTTGAAAATTTGAGCAGGAGGTAACAGGATGAAAGCAATTTTAACTCACTAGAGATAATCAGTAGTGACGACAGTCAAAAAAATAGTTTAAACATCAGCAAAAATCTATAGGTATGAGTTGATAGTGCTAGACATAGGTGATGAAGGTCCGATATAGATGGTAGAAGATGTAGTGGTGAAGAAAGAAGATGGATTAGATCTGTTAAAAAGAAGAAAATTTCATAGACTTGATAATGTATTCATTATGTATTTATTGAATGTAAATCTTTTGTAAACATGCAAGGTGCCATGGGTGAATCTAAAGTAAATAAATATAATAAAGATAAGTCAGAGATAACTAGGAGAGTTAAAGTCTAAATGACCTGGAAAATAGTGGTGGTGCCACATGATTGGATGGTAGGATAGATTACTTCAACAGAGAGTGATTTTAACTTGGTGAATTTAAAGTGATGGTATTAGGAGATAAGAATAAAAGGATATAATTATGGAATCATTATTGCAGAGGAGATAGTTCAGGGAAATAGTTGAAGTCATGAAAATTGGTGCAGTCTTTAAAGGAAGAATGTCTTGAAGGAAAAAAGCTGAGTCAAAGACTGTACTTTGCGGGTAGTCATAGTTGAATGCTTAGAATTCAGAAAATGAGTAAGAAAGGGAGCATTAAGAAAGTCAAAAGAAACAAATTGTGTACAGTGGCAACCATGATAGGAAAGAGGATCAAGATGGAGGAATAGTTTGCTAGCATTATCATTTGCAACAGAGAACACCTAGAGAATGAGGACAGAGTAAGGATAGATTCAACTGAGAGAACATATTTGATCATCTTTGAGAATGAAATTTTAGTAGAATACTCATGTTTGCTTGACCTAGAGTTATAACAGTTGATTTGGGAAGAGTTGAACAAACCAAGGAAAACTTGGGAGACCATATAAACATAATTTTTTGGTGGATTGAATATAGGAGATAAAAAAGCAGGATTTTCCTGTTCTGATTTAGGTACCTAAGATATATGAGATGCCATTTAGCAAAGAACACTCTAGAGAAGAAGGAATTGGGGCATGTAGAGAGGCTAGGTGGACAGAGATCTGGCAGTGTTGAGTTTTAGGAACCTTTGAGAACCTTTGAGATTCTGAATGGAAATGTTAAGAGGGATGTTGGGGAGATATATATATATATCCTTTGAGATACATGCATATATATATATGCATATATGTATATATATAGTGGCTTTTATGCTACAATAGTGGGAATGAGTAGTTGGAACAGAAATCTTATGCCTGTATCTCAAAGGAGCAACAGATAACAGTATTGAAATTGTTGGTATGTAAGTGGTAATGTAATTGAAGTCATTCATTTAAAAGAAGCTATCCAGGGAAAGAACAGGAAGAGAAGAGTTCTTTCTAAGCTTTGATGAAGGATGATTCAGATAGGATGAGCTACCAAAGGAGACTGAGTAGCCACTAAAGAGGTAGGAGAATATCTCATCTTGTAGGAAGCCTTGGGAAGATAATATTTTAAGAAAGGAGCAAGCATTTTTGTCCTTATTCATTTACATCGTTTATCTCACTAAATGATAATTGTCTACTTACTTGTCGACTTACCCAGTAGTTTCAGTTCCTATAGGGATTGTGGGTTAATCTATCTTGGGAGCAAGCAAAAAATTTTTGTAAAGGGCTAAGCTCTTTGAGTCATAAGATTTCTGTTCCAACTACTCATTCCCACTATTGTAGCATGAAAGCCACCATATACAAAACATTAAAAATGTGTATATTCATAAAACTTTATAGATGCTGAAATTTGAATGTCATATAATTTCACATCGTGAAATATTAATTTGATTTTTTAAAAATCACTTAAAATATAAGCAATCATTCTTAGCCTGTAGGCTGCACAAAAACAGAGTAGGCCAGATTAGGCCCACAGGCTATAGCTTACTGAACTTTTTCCCTAACTGAGTCTTGTGCTTGATCCATAACAGACACTGAGTAAATTTTTATTTAATGAATTAATGTTGAATAAGTTCTTATCCAGTTCAAATGTGTTTTCTTGGAGTGTAGGGAAGTACTAGAGATGGGTTTTCCTCTTCAAGCTCTGAAAGCAATAATTCATACTTTTCTTTGGAATCATTCTTCTCTTTAGCAGTAAACTTTTAATTTACTAAAAGTCAGTATAAAATTTTGACCGACTATCAAGTTTCTAGAAGGCTGTTTTAAATTTTTGTTATGTTAGAATGATGTTGTATGGGCTGCAGAAAGGTAAAACTGAGTTCCAACATTTTCTAGGATGCATAGTTTTGCACATTAATTTTTATTAATACCTGAAGTTTTTGGAAACAAGCTTATAGGTAGTAAAACACACTTTTATACTTCTGAAAATTCTAATCATTAATATTATTTACCCTTGAACTTTTTCTGCATTTTATTTAAGACCATAACAGGTCTGTAGAACATGGATCCTGTACTCATGTTGCTAGAATTTAACATGAGAGACAGTTTTTTTGTTTTTTGTTGTTTTTTTTTTTGAGTTGGAGTCTCACTCTGTCGCCCAGACTGGAGTGCAGTGGCCGCTCCCGGCCACTGCAGCCTTGACCTGCTGGACTCCGGTGATCCTTCTGTCTCAGGCTTCCAAGTAGCTGGAACTACAGGCGCACACTACCACGCCTGGCTAATTTTTGATTTATTGTAGAGATGAAGTCTCACCAAGTTGCCCAGGCGGGTCTCGAACCCGCAGGCTCAGGCAATCCACTCACCTCAGCTTCCCAAAAGTGCGGGATTACAGGCTGAGCCACCGAGCCCAGCTAAGAGACAGTTTTATATGACAATCTGTAATTTGTACCATGAAGGAAGTTAACAGGTGTAATACAGGTTAATTTTGAAGGAAGGATACAGGTAAAGTAGTCAGAAAATGTTTTTCTTGGGAAATATCATTTATGCCATGACTTGATCTATGTGAAGAGTTGGGAAGGGGAGGCATACCTAGGTAGAGTGATAGTATATGTGATGATTCTGAGTCCCATGAGGACTCAGAATTTTTCAGGAATTGAAAAATGGCTTTATATATAAATAATTTAGAGCGTATATATTCAACTATCCACAAATAACTGATTATACAAAGACTTATATATTAACTTTTTTAAAAATCTGACAATTTCTACTAAGAAATAGCTCATAAGCATGGGGGTCAAAATTGGTTCAGTAAAATAAATAAATAAAAATTACTGATTTCTGGTCTGTTCCACGCTTATTGAAAACTGTTCAGCTGAAATTGCAGTAGTATTATAGGTATATATTGGTAGGCAGTTGAGAGTAAATTAATATAAATAATTACTGTGTCAAGGACTGTTTAGCACCAAGCCTCACATATGCTGAAACAATAATCAAAGAAGATGATTCCTACATGAGTAGCTCAGTTAAGTCTACGTACAAAAATGTGGCAAACTAAGGTAACACCAGATGAGATTTCTTAAGCAAAAGAATGACTGACTTGAACTTGTGAGTTGTTAGTAGGAAGAAGACAACAGATTGAGGGTCGGGGGGAAGAGTGAGGGAAATAGAATGAGTGAGTGAAGGGGGAATGAGAATCTTGCTCAGTAAGATTTAAGGAGGAGGACAAGAGGGAAGAATTCAAGGAAAAGACGAAGGGGGAATACTAACAGTCTAAAAGAGAAGTCTATATTTGTAGCATACTTTTTATATGTATAGCTGACTATATCTTTGATTATCTCTTCTACTTCTTCAAAATCTGTGCTTTGCAATATTTCACTTTGAAAACTCAAAATGAAAAATTATATAGTTTAATGTTTACAGATAATATTTGCAAATATTTGTTTTAAAATAAAATGTATGTACCATGTAGTATGTTGTGTTTATTTACTCATAATGTTCTTTTAAGTGTTTCAGGCTGCATGTACCAAGTAGTTCAGACGATTGGCTCGGATGGAAAAAATCTTCTGCAATTACTTCCAATTCCTAATTCTTCTGGAAATCTTATGCCGCTAGTTCAATCTTCAGTCATGTCTGATGCTTTGAAAGGGAATACAGGAAAACCAGTTCAACTTACTTTTCAGACTCAGATTCCCAGCTCTTCCACAAGTGCATCAGTTCAATTGCCCATTTTTCAGCCACCCAGTTCTTCAAACTATTTTCTCACAAGAACAGTAGATACAGCAGAAAAGGCTAGAGTTACTGCTGTGGGAACTGAAAATTTTACTTCATCAGTTTCTAAAGTTCAGAGTCATGGTGTAAAAATTGATGGACTCACCATGCAAACATTTGCTGTTCCTCCCTCCTCAACACAAAATGATTCATCTTTTATTGTAGTTAATTCCCAAAGTGTTCCAATGACTGTGAAGTCTCCAGTTTTACCTTCTGGGCATCATTTACAGATTCCAGCCCATGCTGAAGTGAAATCTATACCAGCGTCATCATTGCCTCCTTCAGTTCAGCAAAAGATACTTGCAGCTGCAACCACAAGTACCTCAGGAGCAATTGAGACCTCCCAAATACCAACTGTTATTTATGTATCTCCTGTAAAAACAGTGAAAAACGTAGTTACCAAGAACTTTCAAAACATTTACCCAAAACCTGTTACTGAAATAGCAAAGCCAGTGATACTAAACACCACACAAATGCCAATGAAGGTTACTGCAGAGACACAATTAAAAGGTGGTCAGCATTCTCAAGCTGCTCCAGTGAAATGGATTTTTCAAGAAAATCTACAGCCTTATACTCCATCTCTTGTTCCTGTTAAGTCTTCAAATAATGTGGCTTCAAAGATTTTAAAAACTTTTGTAGATAGAAAAAGTTTGGGAGATAATACTATAAATGTGCCCCCATTGAGTACCATCAGACCTAGTGGGACACAGTCCAAAAGTATGCCTATTAAAGATAATGCTTTGGTTATGTATAATGAGAAAGTCTATCTCTTGGCTAAAAAGGGGACAGATGTTCTGCCATCACAGCTTGACCAACAGACTTCTGTTTCTCCTAATATTCCACTAAGAAAAGACATGTTACAGATAGTAAATTCACGTCCAGTCACAGAAATATCCAGAGAGGTTGTAAATATTGTTTTGGCTAAAAGTAAATCTCAGATGGAGACAAAATCACTTTCCAATACCCAGCTTGCTTCCATGGCCAATCTAGGGGCAGAGAAGGATAAAAAATTGGAGAAACCATCTCCTTCTACCACAAATCCACACAGTATGAACCAGTCCAGTAACTACTTAAAACACAATAAGACTTTACTCACAAAACCAGTCTTTCCAGATGGCTTTAGTACAGAACACAGTGCCCCCAGAAAAGGAAGTATCATCCAGAGCATAGAGAAAATAAGTTCCTCTGTTGATGCAACAACTGTTACTTCACAACAGTGTGTTTTCAGAGACCAAGAACCAAAGGTAATTTTCCCATGTCAGGGTGCTCTTTTTGTATATCTCTATAGAAAATTTTTCTTTATTAATTCTTAAAGTTATCTGTGACACCTCTTCTCTCAACCCCACCCACATATATACTATACACACATGAATGTTTAAGTCAAAAGTTTTACCTGAGTAAATATTTGAGGAGTACAGTTGGGATCGTTTAATCGATATCTTTCTCTTAAATCATTTGCTCTTTAAAGCAAAATCAAGAGCAACAAAAAACAAACAAAAAAAATCACAGAGCAACAAGATTTAGATGAGTTGGGGAAGAAAAATGAATTTAAAGCTTAATGTAATTGTGTGAGTGTGTATATACATACATACACCTACACACACATACATACATATATACTTATACATGTATATATGTACATACATATTTGATAGCATACTTTTTGGTATAAGAAGAGATCAGTATTTATACAGGAGAGCTGTTTGGGGGTTTTGTGAGGTTTGTGTATGTGTGTGGTATTGGTGGGGAGATACTCAGCCATTTTTTTAGCTGGACCATGGAAGAAATGAGACAGGGCTAGTTAGTACCTTTCAGTAATTTGTGTAAGTAGGATTTTAACAACATCTTAGGTGGGATTTTTTTTTGGTAGACAAATTTCCTTTTTTAAAAACTTGTTTCTGACTCCTCATCTAGTTACCCAACATATCCATCTAGTTACCTTTCTTTTCTACTTTAGGTTTGTGTGTGTGTGCTTACTAAATATTTTCACCTACCCTTTGCTTGCTTGCTAAGAGGTCTGCTTAATATCAGCATTCCTCCTCTTTAGTACAGATTTCATTGAAATCCAGAGATGTAAGGAGGTAAATTTTGATTGTTAAATACAAGATTGAGTAAAAGGCATAAGACTTTTCCAGAAGACAATTTCTAAATAATATCAGGTAGATTATTTTTAAGTTGTCATTAGTCTGTCTACTCATTTCAGTTGTTTGAGAATTGACTGCTTTTATCGTTACTTTTCTAGTGCAACAAATTAAATGAGAAATTATAGGGATATTTTAGGTTTGTACTTGGTTAAATTCAGTTTGGGTGGAAAGGCCAAGGTAATACAAACCATTCATTTAGGATTTTAAAGCATGATGTGTTCTTTTATGTAAGACGAAACAATCGCTTTGTTGCTAGATTGATCAAATGAGTAATTACCAGTATTGTTTGTGTGTTTTCATAATTCTAGATCCAGAATGAGATGGCATCAACATTAGAAAAAAGTACTCAAGAAAGAAAAGATGAGAAAATTTCTCAAGGAGGAAGTAATAAGGCATCATATATGAAGAATGATGCTGAACTTAAAAAGATATTTGGTCTCACAAAAGATTTGAGAGTGTGCCTTACTCGAATTCCTGACCATTTGAGCTCTGGAGAAGGTTTTGATTCTTTTAGCAGTTTGATGAAGAGTGGTACTTACAAAAAGGCAGAGTTCATGGTGAAGGAAGAAGGAAGAAAACAGGTAATAGACTTTAAGATGTTTTTTATAGATACTACAGTTGTACATTGGTGTAGTAATTTTCTTGATTTGGTTTTTAGCCTTGTGCATTAATTTAAATGATGTTTGTTACCAAATTTGCTAATAAGTATGACACATCAAACTGTTAAAAAGAACCATATATGCACAGATAAAAATGCATCCCCAGTTACCTCAGGATGCTGTTTAAGTGTTTTTATTCACCTACTGTTTTTTTTTTAAATTATGCTATGATAAGAAAATGGCCCTAGTTTTTTAAGTAGTTTTCCTACTTTGAAGACTTTTTTTTTTTTTGCGGCAAACGTCTCACTCTGTCAGTCAGGCTGGAGTGCAGTGGCACACTCATGGCCACTGCGGCCTCAACCTGCTGGGCTCAGGTGATCCTTCTACCTCAGCATTCCAAGTAGCTGGAACCACAGGCATGTGCCACCATGCCTGGCTAATTTTTGATTTATAGTAGAGATGAGGTCTCGCCAAGTTACCCAGACTTGTCTCGAATTCGCAGGCTCAGGCAACCTCAGCCTCCCAAATTGCTGGGATTATAGGCTTGAGCTCCTGCACCCAGCTTTAGGACTCTTTCTAAAGGAAATAATTTAAATGTAGTGGGAAAATATAAGCATGCAAATGTTTATTGCAGTATTACTGTTGATACTAGTATTTTAAGTAGCCTATGGGATTAATAATGATGAGAAGAAGTGTCCTTGTTACTTTACCTACTGTCATTCTGCTTATAAATAAATCATTATTATTTCATATTCTGAACTTTAGTTCAGAGATCAGTCAACCTTTCCCACTGAAAATCTTCTACTTATGCTTACTGTGCAAAGAAAAAGAAAAAAAAGTTCACTGTAGTTCACAAGTGCTTCACAAGTGCTATATTTGTTGATAGATCAATATGGCTTCTGATACTTGACCAGAGCAAGGAACTGTGAATTAGGTGATTTATTCTTAGTGATTACGAGTAAGACATTGTTCTTCATTTTGGTACCATACAGTGGGAAACATTTCTTGCTGTAGTTGTCCCCAGTAAATTTTGTTCAATTAATTATAATTGCTAAATATTTACTTCTGCAAACTTTGTTAAATTTGAGAGCATGCTATATATGTGACAATAACATTTTGTTTTTCTTTTGGAATCTTATTCAACAGAGTTTCGATAAGAAAAGAAAAACAAAAACTGCTAAGAAGATGGATTACAGAAAGAAGAGAAAAACTGGAGGTGTTTATAACACAGTCATAAATGGGGAGATTAATGTCACCAGTTCCCAACTCCTTAGCAGTATTTTACCAGATTCAGATGTATCACAACACAATATTCTCACAAGTCACAGCAAAACCAGAGAAGAAAAAAGAGCTGAGATAGAGCACAATACCCATGAGAAGCAAGAGAAAAGCACATTGAGTTCAAATGCAGCTTATGAGCAAAGTCATTCCTTTAATAAAAATTATATTGAAGATCTTTTTCCAGTGACACCACCAGAGTTAGAAGAAACCATTCGAGATGAAAAAATAAGAAGACTGAAACAGGTACTGAGAGAGAAGGAAGCAGCTCTTGAAGAAATGCGTAAGAAGATGCACCAAAAATAATAATTCTCCTATACTTAAAGACTTCAGTGAAATAGTTGTGTTTTTTTGTATACATTTTTGGTTTAATGAGTTAATTGTAGCTGCATTTTGAAAATGTCTTTGAATATGAAACTTGTTTTTTCATCAGTTGATTATGAAACTTCATTTAAGGAATACAGAAGGGTTGATTCATATATAATTTGTGAATAATCCACATGGGGTATCTAAACCATTGTCTTAGATACCTTTTTGGGAAGGAAAAATTATATATTTTTCTCTTACTTTAACTCAGAGTTTTCAGGTTTGAATATTTGTGTAGGACTTTGTTTTTGTATCTTTAGCTAAATTGCTCAGATGTTACTCCAATAATAGGTAATTTTTGTGTATTGACACTCTACATCCAAGAGAGGCATTCAGCTCTTAAGCTTTACTAATGGTTTTGTATATGTTCTTGTTTGGTCTCCTTACCCACAAAATAATGATACCTTCTACTCACCATTATTTTGTTATTTTCTTTTTATTGCATGAAGTAAAATGTATTACAGAAGCATTATTTGACTATTCAAACATTTCTCAAGAGTGAGGAACATTTGTTTTGTTACTTCACATCAATTTTATATAATCCAAATGTATTTTAGAATTCAGGCTATCTGATGTATTGTTTGCTTAAAGGGTTATTATTTTTAGACATGGTGCTTTTTTGGACCATACAAAGATTACTTAGATTGTGTGAAAAGTAGGTCTAAACAGTAGTCACTTTTTAAAATAGTACTGTAAAAGTTTATTAGGAGAAACAAGTATAAATAGGAAGGATGCAGCATTGGGCAGGGAACACACTGAGACAATAAAGGACATCTTGCAACTTTTCAAATTATACAGGTACCATAGAATATTTATCACAGATCAGTGTCCTCTTCAAATTTCAGAATGGTTGTGCTTGTTCTTTGTGTTCTCAGTTTGGATCTCACTGCTGTGCCTCATGGAAATCAAATGAAGTCCTGAATCTGCTCTGTGTGGAGGGTTCTTTGTGTCTAGTCTTTGTAGCTCTGGTTTCTGCATCTTCTGTCTCTCTTGAAGCCCTTGTTTTTGCCTTCTTTCTAGACTGTGCTTCAAGTGGGTGACCTCTGGCCTGTTTGGCCTTCTCCCTCTCCAAAAAACATGAGTCTTCAGCCAGTAGTTTTGAACCTTTTTTCCATGAGTGGTGGTCTAGTGTCTGAAGGTGTGCTCTGCTTTCTGCTGCTACTCCTGCATTTCCTGAATTCTTTTTCTGTTCTGTCATCTCTCTTTGTAGATTTTATAAAGACAGTCTACTTTATCTTCAGCATTTTCAATTCAGTTTCATATGCAGCTTTCAGAGACCTCAATGCATCACCATAGTCTTCTAGGCTTTTCGTAATTTCTTCCTGGACACAGTTATTGGACCTCAAGCTCCTTAGCTCTGAATGCTCAAATGCATCATTCACATCTATTGACTGCTTTTTCTTGATCTTCTCTGAAGTGTCTTCCTTGGATTCCCTCTCATCTTCAGATTTCACTTGTTCTTCCTGCACACCAGCTTTATTACAGAGAATTTGACCCTTCTTTTCCCAAAGGAATATTTTCTCTAAAAGTTCTGTGTTTTCCTTCATGGCATTCTTGATGTTCTCAGAAATTTGCTGTAGTTCAACTTGATACAATGCAGGCTTTATCTAGGAAAGAAAGTTCAATTTCGGGTCAAAACATATTAAGACTTCGACATTTATTCTTCCTGAAAAATAATCCCATTGTTCACTTTTAATACTTTTTAAATTGTAAAGTGTTATTTTTCTATCTGGTTAATCTTTGGTTTGGAAAAGATTGGGAGTGGTAGGGACAGGGATTAAGAGAGGGGAGGAAACGATGCAGTGGTGCTGTCTGTAGACCCAGCTACTCCAGAGCTGAGGCGAGAGCATCGCTTGATCTCCTGAGTTCAAGGCCAGTCTGGGCAATACAAAGAGATTGCACTCGTTAGGAGGGAGGAAGAGAAATGGGAGGGAGAGAGAAGGAGGGAAGATGGGGAGAAGCACGAGATTGTTTTTAAAAATTAACAAATCCCTGAAATACGAGAGCGAAAAACAAGCCCTGTACAATGGCAACAAGAGAGAATGTAGTAAATGACAATATACTGAAAGGGAGTGAAACAAATGCAAACATCAGCAAGATTTTGGTTTTTTTTTAGTAGCGATAACAGCTTTATTGAAGTATAATTCACATACTGTAAAATTCATCCTTTTAATATACAGTTTACTTTTTATTACTCCCACAGAGTTTTACAACCATCAACATTATAGAACATTTTCAACACCCCTAAAACAAAACTCATGCTTACTAGCAGTCACTCCCCATTCTCTCTCCCTCTGCCCTAGGCATCTGCTAGTATGCTTTGTGTCTATGGAATTGCTTATTGTGAACATTTCAATACGTGGGATCACAGTATTTTTGTGTGTGACTGGTTCATTTTATCTAGCCTTATGTTTTCAGTATGTTGTAAACATGTATCAATACTTTGTTATTTGTTGCTGAATAATACTGTACAGATTATACCCATACTTTGTTTATCCATGCCTTTGTTATAGACATTTGTTTTGTTTTTGCCTTGGGCTACCGTCTTAGTTTCAGTTCTCTTGGGTATATACCTAGGAGTGTAATTGCTGGGTTATACAGTAACTGTTTAACATTTAAAAGAACTGCCAAACTATTCCAGTCAGGTCCTGCTTTTCCCACCCCACCAGAACTGATCTTGTGTGATTTCCTAATTGGTAGATTCACTGGTCAATTGTCAGTCTTAATTTATCAACAGAATGTAATTTTATGAACCATTACTTCTTTTGAAAAATATTTAAAGCATTTCATCATAGAAACAATACATGCTTATAGTAGAATATTTGAAAATATAATAAGCTAAGACATTAAAAATTAAAACTTCACACTCCCATCATCCCTTATTTACCACTGTTAGCATGTCAGTGTATATTCTTCCTGATCTTTCTCTGTGACCCATATGTATATGTTTTTATCAAAATAAAGATCTTATTTGTACTATTCTGAATCTTTTTACAGTCTACAATCTTCAGCTTTTCCTTTTTGTAATTTCCCCCCCCTAAAACTCAAGCCAAATTTACAAATTTGACCCCGGAATATCTTTTGCCATTTTTTAAAAACAGTATTAAACTTAGGACTTTGTGTTTTATCTAACTATTATACTCTATAAAGCTATTTTAGTACAGTCGTTTTAATGATGCTGTTTAATTGAAGAGACAAACCAGTTGTCCTGACTCCTTTTTTTCTTGATACACTTTCATTTCACTTCTAGGAGACCACACTTCTCCTCACATTGCTTATTCTCTGTCTCCTTGCTGACCCTTCTCTTTTACCCATTCTCTTTGATACATTAAAGTACCCCTGGTTTGGGTTCTTGGTTTGCTTCTCTGGTATACTCACTTTCCTGGTGATCTCATCTACTTTCAAGGCTTCAGATGTGATATATGTACTGACAACTTGCACATTATTATCTTTATGTTCTGACCTCTCTCTCTTGAATTCCAGAGTTGTATATCTCTATTAAATGTCTAAAAATCTCAAGTTTATGTTCAAAGCTGAAATCTGTTCGTCCCTCAAACCAGCTTCATCCACACTTTCCCCATTTTAGCTGATGATAGCTTCATCCTACCAGTTGCTTGGGCCAAAAAACTTCAAGTCATACTTGTCTTGCTCTCACACCCAAATTTTGTTGGTTCAACTTTCAAAATAGCCCAGATATGGCTGCTCCCCCCGCCTCCATCTCCAGTGTTACCATTAGCCCTGGATTGAATTATTGGTAGGCTTATAAGTGATCTGCCTTCATCCATGTTTGAACCCTTAGAACCTGTTAGCACAACAGCCAGAGTGTCCTTTTAAAACAAGCCAGAGTTCGTATTCTACTCCAGTGACTCCTCATTTCACATGGAGTGAGTCACTATGCTGAGGGCTGGAGTTCCAAGGTGAGCAAATAGGACCGAGCATTTTTTAAATCTCCTTAATATGCGATTGTATCCCCATATACCACTGTTTTCATCTAAGTAAAAAGGTTGAAGTATTTTCTCAAAAATAATCATTGAGCAGAGATCTGAAGGAAAAACAAATTAAGTAAAGGGATAAGAGGCAGAGGTGAAATAACTTTCCCAATGGGGAATGGGCAAATTTGAAGAATTTTAAAATTTCTGTTATTTCTTTTTTAATTTATTTCCCTACCAAGAGTGATTAACAGTAAAATCTTGTATTATACATTGACTTGTGAGTATTTTTTGGAAAGCAACTAAGTCGAGAAAAATCAAGGAACATCCAGGCAGACTAATAATTCAGAGCCCGCTGTTCAACCAAAAGTCTTTCAGTGTTCAACATTTATTTAAGAGTGGCAAGAAAAACTAAGTTTTATTAATAATTTGCTTACATTGATCAAAGCTCTCTTATATTCTTTAAAATAATCCTCACATTTTTGAATTTCTCATTCTCCCCTCTGTGTGATTTTCTTTTAGTTCTTTATTTTAAAGATGTGGGGTACAATTCAGGATCAGGTATACAAGTGGTCAGTTTAAAGTTTCCAAGGTAGAAGAAAGCATGGCATGTATGAACAACGAAGGTCAGGTATTGTCAGACATCCAGAATGTCTGTATAACCACTTAGAGAGACAGTACAAAAGAAGAAGAAATTGTGGGCTTTTCTTGAATACATTGAAAAGTTGTAGGCCGTGCTTTTATTAAGTTCTGGCCCAGCCATTTGGTGCTCTGAACTCTAGCCTGGTCATGTTTTCCTAAGCTTTGGCTCCCTCTACTTTGGGGACGTGAATCTTTTCTCTCTTTCTCTAATCTACTTTCTTAATAAACTGTATTTTCCAATTTAAATAAAGTTGTGAAAGGATTATTTTACTTGAATATTGAAGACTGTAAAAGGTTTAGTTGTATTCATAAATTCTTGGAATACTAAGCATTCTATTGGTGTTTGTCACATAAAATAAACTAAAATCATTCTAATAGACATATCTACCATTTCATTTCATTTTCTTACCTTTTTATTTTAATCTATTTTGCTCCTTTTTATTTTCTCCTTATTAAGACTTCGCTGCTCATGAAAATAATTAAGCACCTATATTCTGATATTGTATGTCATGACTGGAACGTGGCTTGAATCTTTTACAACAGGGGTCCTCAGTCTTTTTGGCATCAGGGACTGGTTTCATGGAAGACAATTTTACCATGGCCTGGAGGAATGGGGAGGGGGAGATGATTTGGGGATGTTTCAAGCATATAACGTTTTTTGTGCACTTTATTATTACATTATAATATATAATAATTATACAGTTCACCTTTAAAAAACACAGAAGTGGAAAATAGAATTGGTGGACCATGCACAGATTAAAGTGTGTGTCAGATTCTGACTGAAACCAGACACTAGATGCGGCTGTGTAATTGAAGTACATCAACTCACTTGCCACTCACTGATAGTGTTTTGAGATGAGCCTGTAAGCAATTGATTATATTATGGTTTCTGTATTGTCAAATCTCACTGTTAATGTTAATCTGTATTTGCAACTGCTCCCCAGTGCTAG